AAAACTTATCATGCCACCTCGAAAATATCCATCTGTTTGTTTCACCAACTGATTACTTACAAATGACAAGAGAATAATAGCTTTTGAAATGCAAAGCGGGACAAATTCAATTCATCTGGCAAATCATAATGCATGAATTTCCAAAACACATCGTAAAGTGGCTTTAAATTTTGTAAACCATTGCACCTTTATTTCATTCGTTTTTTTATGAATTGGCTAATATTGTTTCAAAAAAAATGTTCTGAAAACGCATATGCAAATGTTCTCTTGTCACCTTGTAAGCTAATTATGTACAATACAAAACCCGTGTGTCTGGTTCATAGGATGTTATGATGCAGTTCGATTAAGTTAGGCTTGGCTGTTATACAGACCACAAAATCAAAAGTTTCTTTTTTTTTTGAAATCATTTTGTTTCTTCTCGCTCTCTTGTAAAAAAAAAATGTTAATGAGAATTTATTGAATCGGCAATGACTAAATCTAGCGACGTTTTTTTCGCTACAACTGTCTTGCTCATCCAAAATTATTTTTGCCTATTATCGTCAAATTGGTTTTACATCTAACTTCTGTTGCAGTACTCAAGTGTTGGTTTTTATTTTTGCGATGAAGGAAAGCAGCTTTTTATTTACAATCTTGTATAAATTGAGATTATTTCAATTCGTTTTCGCAATTGTTTTATCTACCAGAAGAACAACATGGGATGAGACATCGTTCAAATTACGTTTAGTTAATTAACAGTCTTATGGAAATCTTTCTTCAGTTCTCGTAATCATCAATTATCGAAATATATTTTCTTCTCCAAGCAAAACTCGAACAAAAAATTTTGTGCGAGATAGAGAAAAATGAACGAAAGAGGAAGTAGATCATTTCATACTTGCTTCTTTATCTTTACTGTGGTCTGTATAATCTTGATTCGGTAAATTTTTGCAAGTGAATTGATGAGCAAAGGCTCGTGTGAAGGGGAGGAGTTGAACTCAGAATAGCGCTTGTTTTCCTTGGACCAGACTCTGGGTTTTGTTTATTATTAACATATGCATCTAAATTAAATAAAGATCTTTTTCTGC